GCTCTATATCTCATGGTAGTCATTTTTGTTAAATGACCCAAATATTCCAGATTTGCAAAATGCATTTCATAAATTTTAAATTTCTGTTGCTTCTATCTTCTGCTTAATTTCTTTTAAAAAAACATTGAAAATGTTTTAAAATTTTACTTATAGTGATTGATCCAATCTCCTCTCTTTCCAGTTCTAAAGTATCTTTTAAATATTGTATGGTTGTATTTTGTCTTGTTTTGATGTAATCATTATTTTCAGTCTCCTTTCTAACAATCCATATCATAGGACTGTGATGGTAAACCCATAGCACACAAAGCCTTTTCTGCTGGCAAGCAAGCTGTCACTCCAGCTCAGCTTGGCCGGCATGTGCGCGTAATTCCCAGCTGGTTTTCGGGTCTCTGCTGTGCATGCACAGGGGCAGGGCACATGTGGGAGATGCACAAGCATTTGGGGGGGAGGGACACATGGACGGGGGTCACATATGAGGGGGTTTGCACATGCATGTGGGAAGGTTGTGCTCATTCATGGGGGATGGGCACACAGAGGGGTCACACGTACGTTGCATTATTTGGGGGGGGTTGTGTGTCCGTGCGCTTTCGGCATTCAGCGCTGAAAAGATTATAGGAATTGCTTTTTTATATTTTTGGCCACATTTGAGCTCATGGTTATTAATCTATTTAGCACTTTCCCTGGATTTCTTTTCTGGAGGTGGGTAATAGCATTTTTTATTTAGCTTTTGATTCTAATATCTTTCCCTGCCTTGATTTTCCCTCCATTATAATATTTTAAGGAAGAGTCCCACTTTTTTTAAGGGGAAAGGAGTAAGAGTTGGGCCTTACCAGGTTTCACATGGTCAATAATTGTCTCTTTGTCCTCATAATCAGGGATTCATCCAGGAAACATCTTTATAATATACCTAGTTTCCTTCTCTGGCATGCTTTTAGATGGCTATTTATATTTTTTAAAGATGTAATATCCTGTAAATCAAAATCTACGTTCTGACTTCTACACAGTGCTGTATAGTAGTAACCTTGGATGACTTTTATACTTGGTGATTGTGGATTGTGCTTTGGTGTAGGTAAAAATTTGGTTTTCCACAGGTCTCCCTTACTTTAAGCAACATAAAGTTTCATGCTTCTTTGTAAAGCACAATACAAATTTCCATAGGGAACCAGGACCAAAGCAGTAAGTCACACTCCATTCAGCAGGCTGCTGAAATAAACAGGGATAACGCATGTTACATCCCTTCTCAGAACTGTTGTTAGGAGGAAAGGAAACATCTGCTTGCATTAATTGTTCTTTTATTGGTTTCATTGTCTTCCCAGTGTCATTTATTCAATGGTGGGGTTGCATCATTGTGCAAGTATTATAAACTATTCAGTAAATATAAAGAGATTTCTCTTGGTCTGATACTGCTACTTTTGTGCTTTAGAAAGCGAAAACATTGTTTCAGAATAGTAAAAGCCCTGTCTGCTCGCTGATGTGTACCCATTAGTGTACTGCATATATGTGTATATACATCTGCATCATTTTCTATTAGGTGAACAGACAATTAGGTGCAAATAAGCCAAAGATTGCTAAAAATCAGAGTATTAGATTTCATATGAAAACAGAAGATATGTACCTAGAGTTTATTCAATCCCCTCCCCCCCCACACACACACAGACATAGAACAGATTATGGAAATAGTAAGTAACAAGGGAAATATATAATTCTAGTCTGTTTATAAGGTCTGGTTGTTGTAGACCTAATGATTTCAGATGCAATTGTTATTTTGGTTTGTTGCATAGTTAACCAGATGCTTAGTCTGAATTTGACATTGTTAGCAACCTAACAAATCCTTCCCAAGACCCTTATAGGCAGATGTTGTTGGATGGTGTTAAAAAGTATTGTCCCAGGATATAAGGTCGAAATAAAGATGACTTTTGTGATTGACTGGTGATGATTTTGTCAATGCCAGTAGTGTTCAAATGCTACTCCAGATGTTTTGGCACCCAAGGCACCTGTTACTATTGCTACTATTTTTGCTTTCTTTTGCCACAGTCATTCTATTTGCAGATCTTTGAATTTTTGTGATTACCCCGCCCCCCCCTTCTTTCTCTTCTCTTCTGCTTTCTCCAGGTAGTGCCACACTCATTGTCCAAACTTTTCTGTTTTCTTATCGTTAAGTCTGGAGTATTATGTAGCCTTGTCTTTGAATTCTAAAGACCCAGAACAACTTTAGCTTTATTTCTATCACTTTATCTATTTTGGGATCCCACCATTCTTGCTTGCAGGCAAATGGCATTTCTTGCAGATCTTTCAATGCACCTTTGTTAATACTTTATCATGCCAGTGTTTGTCGTCAATCTCTGTGATCTTGCAACAACTAACTGATCTTCTTGCAGCAGCTAACTAGGTGGTCCCGTGTTTCTTCAGCTTATTTGCAGAGGCGGCATTTGTTGTCTGTTGCTGTCTTCTCAATGCTGGCTTTGTGCGCATTTCTTTTTAATGCTTGGCCTTGTGCAGCCAGAATTAGTCCCTCTGTCTGTTTCATCAGCTTCCCTCTTCTTAGCCACTACTAGGTCTTGTAATCTGATTTTCCTGCTACTTTTTAAAGATAACTAGCCATGCAATCAATATTTGCCTTGCCATGTCTCTTTTCTATTCTTCACTTGGTCTAAATATTATTATTATTAGATTTTATATGGTGCTTTATTGTGTTTTACTGCAGTGTTTGCATTGCTGTTCCTCTTATTCACAGTTTAGACTCGCTTGGGGTTAAAACAGTTTGGCTTAATGTGTCCCTATATTTAGCTTTTTATGTAGAAGGAAAGTTCTGAATAGGTTTTAGTAATGTTGATTATGAATGCATTGCTGCTGCTATAAAAATTTGTAAAGATGTGTTCTTATATTTAAACAGTTCTGAGGGTAGATTTTTTTTCACCAATTACCACAAATAAAGAATAGTTTATTAATACCTGATTAAGTTGAAAAATCATTCTTAAAGTACATTTCAGGCAGATCTGTTTTATAGTCAGTGTAAAAATTCCATGTAAAATCCATATTGGAGAGAATTTTCTTTGATTAATTTATTATATTAATGATTCTTACTAAAGCAAACATATGCATGAGTCATGATGCCTTGGATTTAACATGGCAGTTCAGAAATCCAGGCTCTCCTAACTATGGAATGTTGTATATTTGTACAACCCTAACTATATTATGATTGTTTGCTGATAAAAATAGATGACAGTATTGTGAAGTGAAGACAATGACACATCTGAGTCTTGGAAGGCGTGCTGAGAGTTGACTGTGTATGAATATGAAGTACACTGGGTGGGGTTTCTTTTGTGTTGTATCTTGGCATTGAAACTGAAGTCTAAAGTCAGGCAAAGTAGCAGGTCTTGTAAACTGCACAATGTACATTCAGCAAGGATTCTTCTCCAGGTTCTAATAGACATAATCAGGGGAGTTTAGAGTTAGAAATGTCTCTACCAGTATTAATTGAGCCACAGGGAAAAAATATAATTTATCATTGGGTGTTTTCTCTCTCTCATATGTAAAGCAATGTTTGTAAAAACAGGGGAAACATTTAAATTTGTTCCTTGTCAGTCTCATAATCTTGAATGGAATGCCTTTTTTCTTTGATAGAGTTGCTGCTAACTAGTGGAACAAGTCTGGGTAACAATAGGGAATCTGGGACCCCAGGGTGCTGACATTAACCTAAACCACCTTCCCTAATCCTTTTAAAGTATAGATTTCAGATCCCAGTACTAGCCGTTCTTGTTTGAGAACTCTGCACCCATACATATAAAGCATGCTCAAATTTTTAACTGCTGGAGTGATTTCATATTGTGAATTCCACTCATATTTAACTGAAGCCTTTTTTTCTGGTATCACCCATAGCAGGACTACATAACCAGATAGGTTTTGGTTTAAATGGTGTCAATTTCACCTCATTATAACCCCCTTTTATTGCAAAGTGAAGAGTTGATATGCACTGATTCATAAGTTGATGATTGATGGTTGAATGGATGCCCAACTTATGACAGCACCTAAATTACCTATCTGATCTCAAACAGGTGGGACTATACTAGGACATTTCAGAAGAATAAGCTAGATTGGGAAATAGTAAAACCATTCTGGAAGAAGGCAATGGAATACTAATAATGTTCCAGAAGAACATTTCTCTTATAAAATGTTTTTATTTTACTTAGCTGGGTTGATAAACTTACTTTATTGCAAAACAGAGTGAAAAATTTGCATTTAGAATTAGCCATGCATCCTTCAAAGTTAGGTTTTTAAAATGTATATAATCAATGCTTATAGAGCAAAGGTTTATAAATTTCAGACTCTGAACTGTTTGCTCACAGCAGTATAAGTGTCATCCCATCTGGGCAATCTCCTTTGGCCAAATCAAGTAATAAAACTGCTTATTGTTAGAGCTCTAAGTGAAAGAGGACTCTAGAAGATATGTGAATGTATTCTAATATGCAGGTTCTTACTGTGTGACTGATAGAAGGAAAATATGTTCCTAGCTTTGGGGCTCCTATTTATTCTGTAATGTTATGACTTACCGGGACTGTCTTATGCTAAAATATACCTAGAATTACAGAGGCACCACTAATATTTTTAGAGCATATAAGGTTGCTTCAGATTAGTTGATAGCTGTGAAGGTCACTACATTCTCTAGATGCACATTACTCGGTTCCACCATCTCCTTTCTTCCTTCTTGGTAAAATTCATTTACCATGGTTGAACATTCAAGAAACAGTAGAATTAGTTTTCTGTAGAAATGATTGCTTTCCTTTGCCAAAATCATATCAATATTTGACTGGCTTTGGGCACAGCCCATTTCACTTTATTAAAAAAACATTTCTTTCATTTGAGTATAATAGGAGCTAACTGACTGTGCTAATTTGAATAGCAGCTAATTGTGTCTGAGATATTTGTATGCATTGTAACATGCATGCATCCACCATACCATTTTTTCCAACTAACTTTCTGTTGTTCCTTTTGCATTGCAGAGTAAAGAAGTTGGACAGCAGCTCCAAGAAGACCTGATGAAAGTTCTGAATGAGCTCTACACGGTAAATCCAGTTTGCTCCCCCCTCCTTTTTTAGACAGTAGTGGCAAATTAAAAAGTTTACCTTCCTCTGTGTGCTGCAAAATTATTATTTTTTTCTTCTATTGTTTCATTTTAATTCTTTGGTTTCATCCCTGTTGCCTTTGCTGCTGTTGTGGGATTATTTTCTACATTGAGTGAACATTGGTGAGTGTTTAGTTAAATCACTGGGCTCTTCGTTGGATGATAGTATCAGCTTTGAGGTCCGTTTTGGCTGCAAATGGACCAAACACAATGGGTTCTTTCATCCCAAATGTAGGAATGCATGAAGCACAAGCTTTGTTATGCAATACACTTTTATCTAATTTATTATTTGCATTAGATGCTTGTATAACATTTTTTAAATTTGGATTTTTAGAAGATTGGTAGCAGTAGGTTTTGATTTAGCAAACCACATGCTATATTATCTATAGCCTGGCCCTGGTCCCCAGGGAAGAAAGTTAAGAGAGTCTGTGGAAACCCAGCCTTTTGTCAACTGAGTACAAATGAATATTCAGAAATGCTACAGCCTTAAAATGCTAGTACAAAGCCAGTAAAAAGATGGCTTGTTTTTACTGAGCATGACTACTGCATCATAAATAAAGAGAAGGATTACAAGTTAACACGAGTGTTGTGTTGTTTTTAATTCTCAGAGTAACATTTTGGATCATATTATCTTTATTTTTCAAAGATGCTGTTTACTATTTGATAAGTAGGTTTGAATGAAGCACCAAAGGAAATAGCAAGGGAAACTATATGAAGTGACATGAAACATTAGTTTATTTATTTTGCTAATTAAAATAATACATTGTTGCATAAAAACATTCCACAACATTCTACTTGCTTCCCATTGCTGTCCTGTTGTGCCCTTCCTCTGATGTCTGAAATGTCAGATCTAATATGATCTTTGCATGCTCCACATATCAGCCACATTACCTACCCATCATCTACACACACACACACACACACACACACACACACACACACACACACACACACACATATATGTAGTTGGTTCATTGAGCAAACCTCTCTTTTCCTGCTAGTTGTTTAAAATTACCCTCCCGTGAGCTAATAATTAAGGTAAGATTCTAATCGTTTTGTTCAATTTTCAGCTAGCTTTCCTCATGCTGATTGGAAATTATGATGGCTTATTTCCATCCTTTCTAGAGATCACTAGATTGAGGAAAGCAGTTTTTACATGTTCTACTTATTTTCAGTTGTGAAGACTTCCTTTTCTGTAATTGCGATAACACAAACACCAAGGAAGAATCTGATTGGCACAAAAGTAGGCATGTGCTTATAAAAATTCTGGCCATTTCTTCTTTCATGCATAAATGGGAAATATTTAATATTTACTAAACCTGTTTCAGGTTTATTAAACTTAGCAACTGAGAGCATATTACTTCTATTTTTAAATTTGGGCCCTTTGAATGTTTTCTTTGAGGCTTTTCCCCAAACACCAGACGGTTTCTGGATTTGGTTTGGTCAGCTAGGGTGATTGCGTTGGCAAATACTTTTCTCCACACCCTGTTGCCACATGAAAAGATGTTTCATAGAAACTCTTGAGGCAAAAGCAACGAGACCCTGAAATGAAGTAGAACTAGTAATCATGATGGCCTAGATATAGGCTGATTTTGCAATTTTGTCTAATTTATATAAATCAGCAAATAACACAGGGATAAAGGTTGTATCTTATTATAGGCAAATGTTGGAAACTGTCTTCTGGCAACTACAAAGCCTAAAACATTTATATGGTGTTTCTTATTATTAAACTGAATTCCAGCTGCAGATGTTCAGGATTTTGAACATACAACTGGTATGGTGACATTGCAGAAATGTTCTAAAATGAATTGAGGGTGTGCCTTGTTTCTGGCTTTTAACCTTTTTGAAAAAAAAAAGAAGCCCTAATAATATTCCTATAGGAAGGATTTCATTGAAGGAATGTAATTACTAGAGTGCAGTGTAGCATAACTGCAAGGAATTTAAGAATATTGATTTGTATCTTCCCTTTATGAATCTATATAGATACACTACATAATTAGTGGCTACTAAGCATATCACCTAGCCATTTTGACTGCCAGATACTTTTACATGAGAGTAAGTAATGCTATTGAACTTCTGGGGAAAAGCTATGCCAATTATTAAAAATAATAGTAAATTGGGGCAGGGGATTGACAAATTTTCATAGTGTATCTAGGGCAGAGATAACTTTACAATAAAGCTGCCAGCGTAAGTACATTTGAAGGATGGGAGAAAGAAACCTTGAGTTAAACCTCTGAAGATATAGAAGTCAATTACATTTTCCAGTGAGTATCTGGAAATTTGTACTTTCAGAGTTGCAAGTTTCTGTTAATGTAGCAATACAATAAAGTAGAATTAGTTCATGTAGACATATTTCCTGTCTGATTTACCTAAGAAGGCTAACATCAGTCTTACAAGTCTGAAAGTACAAACTTCCCATTGCCATTTTTAACTGCTTGATCCATTAGGGTAGGCCCTTCCTAAGTTTCTTTCTCTGACCACTAAGCCACTGGGGGCTTATGTCTCTCTTGTTTCCTAGGCAGCATCTCTTTACCTCTTTCCACAAAGTCATCCACACATTCCATTACAAATGATCTTTAAAAAGAAATCCAGATTTGTATGGTGAAAAAATAATGACCCTTGATCAAATAGAATGCTTCACTTAGTTGTTGCCTTTTGGGAATAGGAAGATTAATTCTAAAATGAGTTGAGACAACGAAGAAGGTATGGTACAGATTTATTAACCTGGATAAGAATAGCTTTAATTAATTCATTCTCTATTTATTGATTAGCTATATATACTTACCACCTTATGCAGCATAACTCTGGCCAACGAAATACAGGTAGTGCTTGGTTAATAACCAGTCATTCATAAATTTGAACATTTGAAATTTGAATGAGTGATACTTATGATAGATCCGATTAGTTGTGGCTTTTGTAGCATCTCCACAGTCACAGGATCATCATTTGTGACCTTCATTGCTGACTTTCGACAAGCAAATGGGGAAGCCTGCAAGAGGTTGCAAGTGGTGACCACATGACATCTTACTCAGTGGCATTGTGTGATTTATTTAATAACAGTAATCAGAAATGCCAGAACTCCCATCTCTAAATGGTGCAGTCAAATGATACTCTACCATACAACCACATTGCTTAGCTATGGAAATTCCATTCCCAATTACCATCATTAGCTGAGAACTATCTGAACAAAAATAACAAAACTACAGAATTAACAAAATTGTACAAAAATAACAAAATTCAAAGAAATAAAACCATTTCACACAACCAAGTTGCAAATCTACACATGCTGGGCTCAACTCTCATTCTCATGCTAAACCTGTGAGAAGGCGTTGAGTGTTAACCACATTCTGGAAGGTGAGAAGGATAGAGTAGTAAGAAATTGAATAATTAAAGGTATTTGCCAGTTTGGTCAAAGAAAAAAATACTTGTTTTTTGGTTTATATAGTGTACACTGATAGAAATAATGTATATATTTGAAATCCATTCCAGGATTGTTTTTTACTTTTTAGCTTTGCACAAAATACTCATTTCACATTCTCTGCCTTTCTAGGTTAGCAAATGTAGCCCAAGCCAAAATAAACTACTACTGTCATATGTATGTTACGAGTATACATTTATCCTCTGTATTAATTCACTAGACTTTTACATTTAACATCCTTCTGATAAAGTAGACATTATCCTACAAAATCTTAAAATAATTAATCAATTATGAAAATGTCATGATTGTTGGAATTATTGTTAATATTATCCTGATGATCAATTCAATCTTTATTACGGTCACAGAGCAGCAGTCTTGGTGATCAATACTAGAAAAATATACCAGTTACAAATTCAGGAAACAGATAACTCTGAGTGACCATTTTTTTAAGAAGGTCCTATAGGCAGGAAGAATATTGATACATCCATCTACTTGATGGATTTGGAAACATTTGCAATATCCTCATTTATCTATCTAAATTTTAACAACAAATTAAAATTGGGTTAAAACTACATGAATTTACTTTTCCAATAGTAAGATTAATTTATCTTGAATTCCATCAGTTTCTTTCTTAAGCAATTTCTCTAAATCGGCACAATCTGTGGTTTTCTAGGTGTTGCTGGATTACGCCTCACAGCATCAATTAGCAATGATTATGCTGATTTGTGTTAGGAATTAAGATTAGGTAAGATCTACATTGCTGATTCTTGTGGTATGAGAGCAAGAAAAAAAATGGAACAGACAGAATGTACAGAGCGGGGCATAACCTTTTCCTAGGGGGTCACAGCAACACTTGTAATAACAACACAAATAATTCATACACCATTCGAAAGCCCATCAAAAACTGAGTTTATTGACACGATTTAATAGTCAGTATGACCACCATTAGCCCTTCGAACAGCATTCAAACGAGGTGGATAAGAACACAACAAATCTTCAAACAGTTCCGTTCGATTTTCCAGATTTTTCAACACAGTTTCCAAATTCATTCTCAAAGTTTCAACCGAATATCGATTTTGACCTTGCTCCTGAATCATCAGAGCTTCCACTTCATCCTTAATTATGGCCCCAATGTTCTCTGCTGGATTGAGATCTGGCGAATTTCCCGGCCAGACGTCATTGCCCCAAAATTCGACATTGTTTTCCTTTAACAATTGCTGAGTCGCATTTGCACGCATGCAAGGAGCTTTGTCATGAAGAAAGACAGCCTCACCAACCACCAAGACATTGTCTGGATCACTGAGAAATGGAATGACATTCTCCAATAAAATTTTCTCACGGAAATAACTGCCATCCCAGGATTCCCCTTTATCCTTCAAAACCCAATGCAGTTTCTTGGCTGTGAAAATGACGAAAATCCCGATGCAAGTCGGATTGCGAACGATTTGTCGATATCGTTCATGTTTGGCGATGTCGTCGACGTCTTTAGCCCAAATTCGATCGTTCTGGAAATTCGGTTTTCG